GATGCCTCACGCCAGACCACGAAGTGATGGCGGCATGTAAACACAACCAATGAGAACTTGAATCCAGGAATGTGTGTTGGTGCTTGTGTTGGTGTGAGAACAGGGCAAGCAAACATACCCATGCCTGCAAATGTGTTTGTGTATTTATGCAGAGGATCTGTACATACATACATTTATGCATCAGCACCACTAACTTGTGTATTTTTAAACTTTGTTTAGCATTCCACAAAGTTTGTGTGTGTGTATATTTTGCCTCCCACTCAAAGTTGTGTAATTAGTCGGTTACAATCAGCGCCTTATAGAGGATCAATCAGGTGGAAGATAAACATCTGCTTGTATGACACACTTCATTAAGTCGGAAAATGGTGCTGTGTGATCACAGAACATCGTTAAGGTATTTACAAAACTGTGGCACTTTTTAACACAACTAATCCTCATCAAGTGAGACAATTCATCTACCCTCTGGTATACAAATCTTACACGGTATTCTAAATCCTCCCTGTTTTGTCTTTATTTCTGTAGTCGGGACAACATTTCTTGACATGAGACACAATAACTATATTTGAAAACACGAGCAAACCGACTGCTAAGCATAAGCAATACTTGAGGTTGAAGCAGGAAGTTGAAGTGTAAGCTCTGATGGACGTTTACAGCAGACATATTTTAACCATTGTTTCTTTTATCAAATATGTGAACAACAATGAGGTTTGTCTAATTATCTAACTTCTTTTGTTTTAGTTTGCTAGTTTCTCAGATCAAATCCCAGAGGAACAAAAAAGCTAAACAACATGTATCATCGTAATTTAAAGAAAGCAGATTTGTTTTACATAAAAAAAAAGATTTGCTAACTGTCATGCGACGCATCCCTTCATCCCACTTTTGCTCATCAGCACATTGTTACATAGGGTTAGAAGTCATGAAATCAAAGAATATGCTCCCACATAGCCTTTTAAGACATTTATCTCTGCTAAAGTTAAAAAATGTTTTTTAAAAATCCCGCCAGCTTTCCTTGCCCTTGTAAATCTCATATTTACAACTCTAAAAAAATGAATGTGATTCAAATGTGGCTTAGTGTTCACAACTCTTAATCTTATATGATAATATAAAGACGCTTTACTAACCTCATGATGTCATAGACACGTAACTGAAAGTGAAAAGAATCCAATTCAGCTACTAATTAAGACTTAGTTTTTAGATGATCAGCCAAAAAAAATCCCAAAAATAAAACACTAGACAGTGCCGGAATGCACTATTTGTACTCACTTTGAATTTTACACCATTGATCTCAGTATACATGATCTATTCATCATCAAAGTTTTTTTTAAAGTAATAAAATCTTGTGAAGTCAATATTGTGTTTTTTTCTTGTCTCTCTACACCCTAATTAATGTACATGCAGTGAATCCCCAGTTATGTGACCACAACCTCCAATAAAACCAACATCTGAAATCTTTGAAACCTTGATATTCCCTTTACAAACATGCATGATTTCCTATTTTAACAGCTCAGACACCAAATACAGCCTAAAATGCATCTTTGCATGCAATGGACACTATCTTGTTTTTACCACAAGTTTGGATTGACTGCTTTGCAAATACCAGCCAGTAGTAGGTTAGATACTGTGGAATATTTTAGATACGCTCTACAAAAGAAATCTGCAAATACACAAATTTCCCTTCAAAAATTTGGTGTTACGTTGCTTAAAGAAAATGCAATTAAGTGAATCTATCACAAATAATCGCGAGTCTAATGCCTTTGATTTACAATTCATCTTTCCTCAAATTACTGTAATTTTGAGGCTGCACCTACACCATACCAAATCATTTTTAAGGGGATACATTTTATTCCATAAGAAAAAAGTCTTCCAATAATAAGTTTTTAGCAACAACATTGACATTAACAACATCCTAAGTGAATATTAACATCGTCATTCCACTTATTCTCTATAGGACTTAAACAAACTTTGGTTTTCTGTTGTTTTAAAAGTTTCAGTCGTTGCTCTGACCATAAATATGCGCAAGTTAAGGCAAGTAGCTATTTCTTCTTTTTTTTGCCATTTCCTGAATCTTTAGACTCCACCTATATCTCTCATTTGAATTGGATTTTCTCATGTTTTTCCCAGTTTTAAGAGCGGCTGAGAGAAATGAGCCATGAAATTGGTCATCCTGAGGTTACTTCACTGTAATAAAAGATTAATTTATTTGAAGGTGTAACAGCCATATTTAACTAATAAGCAGGAAGGGCACTAAATACCTAATAAGGTTGTATTCCTAATAAATCTACTCATTAAAATCTCTTATATTTAATTATAAGTTGATTTATGTACTTTATTGCTTACTTTCAACCTGAAAGTGAATGCTAATTTGTTAAAAGTAGTGTTATATTTCCATTCTACTCCTCCAGAAGTTGTTGTACTTTATGTGTTTAATTGTGACTATACACCCACTTTCTTTAAACTAGAGATTTTAGTTTTCAGCAGATGGTCAGTAAAAATAAACACACAGCAGAGGGATTTCAGTGCACTCAGATGTTGTTTGCACACTTGGCAAATCGCTTCAAACCATGCGTCAAAAACGTCAAAAAAAAAAAAAAATCTGTTCAACCCCAAGTTCATTCACCCACAAGTCATGTATTAATACAACACATCACGTAATCTCTGTGTAGCTGCAGCTCAGAAACTGATCTCTAAATGTGAATCAGTGATTATTTGTAATCCAAGTGCTGGAAATCCTGCAATAATTCTTGAATGAGACTGTTGTACTGAGACTACATCCTTTCCTACTGGAAGACAAAATGCTCTGATGCAGCTGTCCGACTCCAAATGTTTGCCTCTGTTTTCTATTCTTCCTCATATTTTCTTTCCTGAACATGTTGGTCTCTCCTACATTTCTTCATTTCCCACAAAAGGAAACATTTTATGTCTGGAAAATACAGCAGTATATTATTTGCGAGTTGCAATAGTTGCAAATCTGCACTAGTTAAAATGTAAAATCTTTTCCTCTAATATTTAATAACATAACAACATAGCTCCGTTTAATACAGTGCATAACTTTAATAACTTTAAGACAAGCCAAGTTTATTTATAACAACACAAGTAAGAATACTTCACAGGAAAAACAAAGAAACTGAAGTAAAATAAAATCAGCTGATAAATCAGAAAGACATGTAAAGCATCAAATGAAAGCATAAAAACATGATTATATAAAAGGAAAATAAAATATCAAAACTACAATATGTAAAGGTGACAGACATATGCTTCAGTAGGTCATAAAAAACATTAACTTTTTTGCACAAAATCATTATTAGAAAATGAGATTTTTATGCCTATGTTGAGTTACTTTCAGATTGAGCCTTTTTAATGCGTCCTGTCACTTTAAATCCAAATAAGCTGCTGCTGGCCACGCCCCCCTCTCTGCGAGGCTTGGCTCCTGAGGTTGCTAGGTAACATCGTAGTGCCAGTTGAACGTCAGTTAACTTTCAGGAGGTTTTTGGAAGTCGGCCATTTTCAGACACCAAAAACATTAAAGTACTGCCCAAAAACAACTGGGTGGATTTTCTTTAAGCACTTGTGTTGTTTTCAGAAGCAGTTGAGGCCCCCAAAAAAATAACTATGTCCCCGTTCAGCAAATAAATATATAAGATAAGGTGAGCTTTAATGTTTTCAGTCCTTATTAAAAAGATTGAGGAGTTTCTCAGGTTACAGATTGAATAGCTGAAGAACAGAAACTTAAAGCTGATCCTCCTTGTTTGGGTTTTATTTTGGGAACAGAGAGCGATGAGGTTTCTAATGACCTGAGGGATCCGCATGCTTCATACCTGACCAGTAACTCTGAAAGGTGTTAAGCTAAATAAAGAGATTTGAAATTATATCCTTGGACAAATAGCAGTGATTAAAGAGCTGGTGTTGGTTAGGATTCTGGCAGCTGCCTGATTGATTTAAGCACATTAGTTTCCCTTTTTAAAAATAATAAGCTATTATTATTATAGCTTATTATATTATCCTAAATGCTTCTTTTTGGACAGGAAACCCCATTATTCTGTTTAAAGTTGCAGAGGTTTGTAGAGAAATAAAGGGGAAACAATCACCTGAATGTGCTTTATTTTAACACAATAAAAACTATTTTAGTTTGGAAGAATTCATGTCACTATTTCAGCTCATACACAGCATTTCTAGTAAATCCAAACACTTTAACTCTAAAGTTAAATATAGTAATTTCTACAAATTCAACTTGCAGGTATTTTGTCTTCATTTTTTCTCTGTGGAGTCATGTCTTTTTGAGATCAGGACTCAGGGAATACTTCAATTTATTTACAGCTTCATATTTTTTTTTAAAAAATAGCTAATGTCAGGTTGTTGCACAATCTACAGTTTATTCCTTTTGGAATAAAAGTAAATCCCTTTTTGTAAATCAATGAGCAGTCTAAGTTTTACTAAACTTTAAAAATCTCATCGAAACCCATGGAGATGTATATAAAAAAAGAAGTGAAGCTTTATGCAACTCTGAGGTCTGATTTGTCTGCAGATACTATGAAATGTGTTAGTTTCCCAAGTTCATCAGTAGCCTAATATACTATCTAATGTCAGTTTGATGGATTTTGATTGTCCGCTTGGAAAGGAACGGCTTAATTTGATCCTGTGTTGTGAAACACATGTTGTTTCTGCAGCATGTGGACCTCTAACTCCAGCAGGAAGACCTTCCTCCTCCGCCGCCTCCTCCTTTTGTTTTAATGAAACCCCAGGGAGGTTCTGGAAAGCCCTGGAACTCGGCGCAGTCCATCCCATCCAAACCGCCACCTCCTCTCCGGTCCCAGCGAGCTTTGGACCAAACCCCGCTCTGCCTCCTGTGGGCTGCCCCGTAGCCACGGCAACTGCAAACAGGACGGGACGGGGTCCTGTTGAAAACAGGTCTATGGTTTCAGCAGATGTCACGACACAGGCGGAAAGCCTCGACTCCGGTCCATTTGTAGCGTGACTCTACATGGAAATAACCCACAGGCAGCGAGATTTTACAGCTTTATTATCAGACTTCCTTTTTTTATATCATACTTAATATGACAAAACACTTGATGACTTCAGAGGTTTTAAAGTGTTACACCATAAAGTTCAGGAAATTGCCACTACACAGTAAAACAACTGGCTGCATTTGCGCGTTACGGCATGCCTTCGTATCCTCCCATTGTCCTGGCCATGAGTCATGTCCACATTGATGAAACGAGCTGCTCCGCTCTCCTGATTGGGCGCCGACGTGGGATTGTTCTGAGCCACAGTCAGGGGAAATGCTTGGGAACTCCACTCCCCAGCGTGAGAGGAGATGGAGAGCAGAACAGCTCCCCGGAGGCCCGGACCGTGACCCCTTCGAGTGCAAAATATGCAGAGGTCACCGGGTTTCTGTTAGGCAAGATCTAAATTTGACTGACACTGAGCAGCAATAACCCATGACTTCATAACTGCTGCTGAGACACGCTATTTATTTACAGACAAATAAATGTCAAGCACACGATTCAGAGTTTTCAAACATGCCTTCAGCGGAAAACAATCTGTGATGTAAAAGAGTGGGAGTGAGGAATTTTAGCTCCATCACAGCGAGGAACAGAGCTGGCACTGGAAAAGCAGTTTGTTTCTCTTTATGGTCATAAAACAAATGTTCAATGACTAAAACCTTTTATTCCCTCATTGGCACATTCTTAATATTACCTTTTATATATGAACATAATGAGAAGTCGGACGGGCTGAACATGATTCTAACATAGCATTAAAACATATTACATGAATCAAAAGAAATTTTTCCCATTTAACTTAAAATATCCATTGCATACTTTTCCGCCGATGTTCAGAAAAGAGGATTCAACACACAAAGCCAGATATAAATACTAAAATGTTTTCCAAATATCTGTAGCCCTCTACTTGCACCACCATTCCAGGTGGAGATGGTTTTAAACTGATTTTCAATTCACGCAATATCAAAGCATCAATGTCCTTAATGTGCCAGTTTTGGCAAATTAATGCAACATTATATTAAATTCTTCAACATAATGTAGCTTTTTCTCCAGTTGATGAGTAAAATGTAACATCACATGATTGTAATTTTGGCACAAATAAAATCTGATTTTATTTTATTAATAAAATAATATTTTAACACAAATCTTTTATCCTGAAGTTATGAGGCTCTCTAGAGTCATATAAATAGCTTTGGTGGGCAAAATTTGGCCAGCGGGCCTTGAGTTTGACACCAGTGGTTTATAGCCCTAAAATAAATTAAACTTTTATTGCTGAAGTTTAATTATAAAATTTAAAATGCTATTGAGGAAAAATACAACACAAATATCTCTCCATATTTATATTTATAGATTTACATCTCAAAAGTACCAGTGTCACATTCATTGATGCCAATAAGATACCAAACTGCAAGGTGCCTTTTATCATTTTTGAGATATTTTTCTCTTCCTCTTTCATCAAGTATTTTCAATCTTTATCTTGCTAAAAGTCCCACTTTCAGTTCTCCTACAGAAAACACCAGATTTTATTTAAAACATCCTGATTTTCCAAAGAATCCATGATGCCCTGGACTCTAACGGGCTCCCAGAGTCTTTTGAAGAGCAACATTTCCCCATGTGAGCATTAAAATGTTTTTCCTTATGTTCATCATTTCCTTTAAGTCAGACCCACCTTGGCTATTTGTCTCTGAAAAAAGAGCCTCCAACCTGAACTCACATCGGTGAGACCGATGTGAGTGAACAAGAATTAATGGTGTGTTTAAAACTCATACTCAATATTTTTGGCACAAGCTTAACTCAAAAAAAAATGCTGGCTGTTCCTTCTGTGTTTGCACTGGAGCTTCTGTCTGCCTCAAACTAACAAAGTGTATGTAAATTAACTACAACATCAGCCAATCACAGACCCCTTGTTTTTGTCTAATCAAAGTATTCCTGGCAAATATGGCACTGTTTGGATGAAAAACAGCCAATCACAACCAGAATATTAAAACACTGTGCCAAACAGCGGAAATTATAAAACTAAACTGTAGGCGATGACAAAAAATGGGAAGATAATAAAATAAATATTTAATTTTGTTTCCTAATTTTATTTACTTAAGCATGCAAATGTACTTGCTTTGGTTGTGCATATATGTAATATTCAAAGTGGCTCATAATTTCAGTTGAGGATAAACTTTTGTCTAATTTGAAGGATTGCATTTCTTCAAGCACATATAAAGTAACACAAAAATAATTTCACTCTAGATGTTTGTTGGAAGACTCGGATAAAATCACATTCTTCATCTGAAAACTATTGTGTCTCATCTTTTAATCCCACCACTAAAACTGTTTTCAGCCAAACAATTTCTAAGAAATACTTTGATTGGTTGAAATTGTTCGGTTTCAATCTCAACTGTTTCCTGACTGTTTCCACACATATGTGCATAACTTCAGTGGCGTGATTATTTGTCTTTTCCATTTTTGAAGAGTAGAAGTTGAAACAGAAACATGAAGATACTACTAAATTAAAAAAGGCTTCTATTAATAAACCTTGTGTTTTGTTTTGCGTCCATTGTTGCTTTTACGTTTCTTGCACCGCTTGCAAATGTTTGCAATTGTATTTTACTCCCTCCCTTTTTTGATCTCATTTTTTTAAATTTTGTTATCCCATATGGTGTTTCTGCTTGTGATCTAATATGCGTCATAATTTCATTCTGCGTTGTATCTCTGAAATTCATTAATTGAATCAGATTCAAACCAGGAAAATAAAATGATTATAAGAAACTTTGAGTTGTTTTCTCTTAGAAATATTTTTTCCATACTTTTATCTGTTCTGCTGACAAATCTTATGTAGAGTGAGTGGTACAATTTATGGCCAAACAGCCTCTCACTCTTCACGACTCACCAAGCCTTCTGCAGTGTTTATCCCTGTTAGTCTTGTATTTGACATGCAGATGATGACAGAACATTTAGATTTGGTTGGTCAGGTTGGAGAAAAACTTACAGACTGTGCCACACCACCACAGATTTAGCTGAACACCAAGTTTAACCACTAACAAACCATTCTTTATTTAGATCTGTTTGAACATTTTATCATACAATCAAATTTTGAGAGGCATAAATCTTTACAACTGGATTCATATTTAAAAAAAAAACAGAAAAAAATAGAAGCAGATTTGATGATTGTTCTCAGATTTAAGTTTCTTTTCTTTTATCACTTTTGGAATAATTATTAATTATTAGGCTGGTGATGCTGTGATATACACTTCTAAGTGACAAACTTTATCACACATTCTTAATTTCATAAGGATGAGGATTCATTAGTCTAGGAATTGGTTTATTGAATCATTAAAGACATGTAGCCATGAAAATTGTTAGTATGTTGTATCCAATTTCAAACTTTTAAACTTAACCTTTCCCTATATGTATAAAATTAAACATAGAATGACTTTTAATTGCTTGAATTCTCAGCTGAAAGGTTATTAAAGTACAAAAATGGCAATGACTGATATAAGACAATAAACTGTGCAATTTACAATTGCTAGAAAAAAAAGGCAACAGAATTAAAACGTGAAAAATCATATTAAATAAAGCAAAAGTAAAGCCTTTTAAAATTTGTGGCCCTGACAAACTTAGTTTGTACTACAGCAAGTGTTGATGGTGTTTTATTTTTGAAGGTTCTTCAAAAAAGAAAAGTTTTATACTTCCCAAATATTGTACAAATAAAACTCCTTCAGTAATTAAGTTAGGAAAGTGTATTTTCATAGACACAAAGTGCTGTACTTTATTCAAAATTAAATCACACAAAGTAAAAAAAATTAATGTGGGGAGAAATGAAAGACATCAGAAATTAAAACGTTTCATTTAATGATTTTTATAGTCATTAAATGAAGTATACAACTTTACACCAAATAGTTTGTGTTTTGTCGTTTTCAATTGATTACATTCTGAATGTTTTTTAAGAAAATATCAATATATTATTTTATATTTCAACAGGACATCAACAAAAGATCAATGTCATGGGCGACCACCGGAGGTCGCTGTTCTTCTGCTGCTCACTGACCTTTGAACCGGGGTGGCTGCAACACATTTAGGTCTTCAGGTCACGACATTGACACATTCACGTTTGAGGAATTACTGGGGTTTGCACCTGCAACTACTGCAACACCAAAAAATGTGACAAATAATAAAACAAAAACACAACAACAACATTCACAGCTGGTTAAACATGTGAGTACCTATAGCAACGAAACACATCCATGAGATAAACTAAAAAATATTATGCTTAATTCAGGCACTATGCATATGTTCAGTTATCTTTTTCTCCAATTGACTAATTAAATTAAACTAATAATTAATAGAACGCAGTATTTAGATTAAAACAGGAAGAATCACTCAAGATGCATAAGCTCATTTTTTTGTAGTGGATTGTTGAAAATTTTAATCTCAAAACGTTCCTCCCCAGAAACCATAGCAACAAATAAATAATCAAAATGGTTACCAGTTGGTAAAATATTGTTTTGAGAATGCGATAAACATAATGGAAGACACCAAGCTATAGTTAAAGTTACATGTTAAATTAGACTTTTTATTAAAGAAAAGTCAAATTTAATGCAATGATTACTTTGTTTATTTTTGAGAAATTTGACAATAAAAGTTTCATTTCAAAAAAGTTCTAGTATAATTTGACCACAACATATTTCACCTCATCTCATTTATTATTATATCAAGAATGTAATACTCAGTCATGGTGATCAAAACATTTATATCTATTTTATTATTGTTGCTATGTAGTTTTATCTGTTGTTGGACCAGCGGCACAAAACAACTAAAATTTTAAAAATACATAAAACAACAAATTCAAATTTTAGCTATTAGGTTCTTGGTTTTTAAGTTTATACTTGATGTTCTCAAGAGAATGACAGTAAAAGTACCAGCTGTTTTTATTTACATCTATTTTTGTTGTTAGTAGGCTGGAAACAGTGTGTAAAAATCAATATCAGCATCTTTTTGAAAAGCTTCTTTGTTTTTCTTCATAAAATTAAGAATAGAAATAAAAATAGTTCCAATTTGAAAGTGATAAGGATGTACTATTTATCAGAAATGATGCCTCTATGTTTGTCTTATTAGCCTGTGTGAGCACAAAATTGCTCTTTGGCTTGTAAAGCTTGCTAATATAGAGTGTAAAGAAAATACAATGTGTATAGAATACATTCATAGACACTCTATAAATAAGGTAATCTTACAGAGTATTGAATATATTGATAAAGTATTGCATATATTTGAGAATAACATTTCTCTCTATTTTGCATCTATCAATATTCAGAGTGGGAGTTTTAACAGCCCATCCACAGAGTATCATGGGACCAAAATTGAACTAATTGTTTCATTTTCTGCTGTTACGTTTCGCCTGTTCCCCTTCCTGCCTGTGGTGGCGCTGCACACCAAGAACCACCTGAAGGAAATTAAATTAAAACCTCTGAAGAAGACATGAGCACAACATCCTCCTTCGTAAAAAGTAAACAAAAAATGGGGTGGCGTCAGATTTAGCGGTTGTTGGACTTCTCTTTAGTCTTCGGTATTAGACCATAACCAATTTCTCCCGCTTGCGTATTTGTTTTGGTTGTATTTACCCAGAATGCACTGCGCTGCAGTTCTCTTCCTGGTCCACTTAGCGCTCACGTGTGCGTTCGAACCGCGCCAAAACCGAGCAGAGACTTGGGGTTTTAGGCGGACAAGAGTTCAATTACTGGACTTTCCAAGAAAATAAGAGTTCGGTTGAAGCGGTCTAAACCGGGCTGGTGCGAATGTACCCACAGTTGGAGGGAATTTGGAAATTACTAAACCTGATTTTCTGGTGTACAGTGTTGAGGCTCAATGTGAGGTCATCTAACGAGATGTTTAAAGCAGCTCACTTTTTCCACTTTCTGCTCTTTTCCTGAATTTTGACATCATGTCCTTCTTCTTCTTCTGCTTTGTATTTAAGATCAGATTGTTCTGCTTGCACCAGATCGCCAAATCTCCTCTCTGCAGGCTATTGATGCGGCTCCATCATCTGTGAATCTAAACAGTAAGTTGCTCTGGATGTGCCTCAAATTGTAAATCTTTAACAAATAAAAAAGCCTGGTAATAAGATGTGTAACTGCACTGAATTGACCATAATATTTCCTGAAAGAGTCAGTTTAACACTCTGCATATCTTTTATATGTGAAATGTCCATAATGTTTCCACTTTCAATGTTTAAAAGTGGAAACACTTTTAAACATAGTTTGTCATTCACACTGCATTGTCTAATTAACGAGTATACATTTAACAATCGTTTAAGTCTTTAACTTTCATCAACAAATAATTTTTCATGTTTTACTGTTCAGTTTAACATGCAAAATAAATAAATATTGCTCAATGAAACACAAACAATTTGATTACATTAAACATTCTTGATGTCGATTTGCCTCTGATTTATTTACCTCGATTAAATGTTAGTCTTTTATTGGTCACTGCTTGTGTTGACACCGTCGTATCTTAATAAAGCTGAAAAACTGGATCAAAGTAGTTTCATGCGTTAGGTATAAATGTAATTTCTAGGAGACAAACACAACTGTCGCAGATCAGCCACATAATAATGTCGACTAGCAATGAAACTATTGGCGCAGAGTTGGAATTAAGTGTTAATGAGATTCCCCAGTCTCGCCACATTGACTTATCATTAGTTAGAAAACAGGCCGGTCACCCCCATGCTAACTCAGTGGAACAAATTCCTTGGGAATCATCCAAAAAATCCCCAGAAACCAAAAGAGAGAAGGAAGCAGTTAAATCATAAAAGGTTGACTTCACTCTTCTGAGTGATTTGCCTTATTGGAACAACATGTTGAAGCTGGACTTTCACTGGGACGCTGGATTGATGCAATATGGCAGAGAGCTCTTTGACAGAGTTGCTGTATGTGTTGTAGTGTGGAGTAGAAAAGCTGGTGAGCAAGGCTGCTTTTGGTTGGTGGGTTGGATCTCACAGAACAAATGGAAATCGGTAATAGCCAAGTTTGTTAAAACGTCTGGAGCTGGTCCCTGCCTGGCACCTCCAGAGCGCTAAGAAGGCGTCCACAGATTTCGACTTTGAGGAATTGGGGCCTATGGCGCTGCGACAGACCAAAGTAGATGCCACTTTTGGGGGGTTTTTTGGTGGCTGAGCCAGGGCCAGATCTAAATGAAGGTTTTAGAGCAGCGACCCAAAGCTGTTTGAGGTGTGGTCTGCCTTGGCGCGGCGGTTCCTGCACAGCATCACACACGTCTACGCAGCCTTTAAAGCTGGAGACGAAGGGGACCAGGCAACTCCAACTCCCCCCATAATAGACGGTGATCTCACACTCGCTGTCTGTGACCATTACAGGCTTAAAAGATGACCATCTAAGAGCAGCAAATGTGTTGGATTATATCAGTAAAACAGCAAAATAATAATATGAGGACACATTGTTTTTTCATAGATTTATGGCAACTTCATCTTATGATACATTTAAAATCTTCTTCCTTAGATTGATTTTTTAAATTTTCCTGCAAACTGATAAAAAAAATAAAAGCAAAGTTCAACTAAATGGAGGTGACATTAGTAGAGCTTTTCCTCCGAAGTATTCTCCATGTCATTCCCTGAAAAAGACGGCTGTCCCTCTTCCTGTAACCGAGCCGTAAACATTAACTGACTGACGTTGCCGTATACCTCTGACACGACACTTCAATCTGTTCGGTACAGTGGCTGTAAATCTGCGGCTAAAATATGAAAGGAAATCAGCGACAATAACAGCTTCCACACCACCAACATGTGTTCATCCAGACACCCTAAATACTGCTCTGTCAGGAAATTGTGATTTATCCCTGCAGATGAAAAGAAGTTTTAAGTGACAAATATACATATATATATTGACGTGAGGACTCCTGCTACTCTACTATTACTAAAAAACATTATTGTAAAAATTAGTGAGGATTTTCAGACAAGCTAAAATAAGCACTTAAGGCTTTGCTTTAAAAGAAACTATGCACTTAATGTATTAAATGAGGTTTCCTGAGCACTAAAATCTCTGAATGTTTCCATATTAGCTGTGAGCTAAAATAAGAACGAAAACATTTAATAATGTCTCTGTACACATGCACACTCTCTGTCTTTGTAAATGTTAATTTAATACAGTGTGAAGTCAGGAGCAGCATCAAAGCTTTTTTGCCACGGAGCAAATTACACGTCAAACACAAATAAAAGAGCTGTTAAATGTGGTAACATAAAAGGAAGCAGACACAGGATTAAATTTGGGGCAAAAAACTTACCAAACCTTCTTCCCACTTCTTCTCAGACTGACACTTTATTTTTATCCACTTGTACAATATTTTAGAAGAACAAGGGATAAAATAAACTAGACATGGACTGGGCAAACTCCCTCCTAAATAAACCACAAAAGAAGTAATAAATGTGCTGCAGGAGTTTCAAATTGATCTGAGAACTCAAGAATATCTTCACAGTTTATGCATCAAAGCATATTCACCTTGTTTCAGATTTTTTTTTTCTGTTGGTTTTTTAATTTATTTAGTAAAGGGTATGAAAGCATATACTTTTGGTTGATTAATGTATTGACTAAAATTAGTAGAAGAGGATTTTCATACATTAGATTAATAAAAAAAAATGATTCTGTGTATTTTACCCGCTGGTTCGTGATCACAGATGTTAAAGGGAAAATATGATTTCATTCCCAGTCTAATTGATCTCTACTACAAACAGTTACTAACATCAAAAAATCCTCAAAAAATGTTGCTAACTCTGTTTTTATTATAAATTTAATGCATACTTATATATAAAGCTCTGGGGAAGAAAGTTAAGAGCCCTCTGCAGTTAACCCCATGGAAAACCTGGTTATTCCACCAAATATTGACTCTGAACTCTTCCTGATTAGAACATTAGTATTAATGAATACAAACTTATTTTCTTTTACATTATTTGAGCTCCGAAAGCGCTACATCTTTTTGTTATTTTGACCAGTTCTCATTTTATGCAAATAAATACAAAACTGTTGTTTTGAATTTCAGAGAAATGTTGTCAATAGTTCATAGCATAAAAGAACAAAGTTCATTTTATTCAAACATAAACCTATATAAAGTAAAATCAGAGAAACTGATCACTTTCTGTGGTGTCTTATTTTTTTTCCAGAGCTGTTGGCGCATAAAAAGGCACAATAATTGAATACTTTATGTTTTTGAAAACTTAAATGATGCTTTTCTTTTTTGACTTTTATTGCAGAGTGAAGTTTGCTTATTTTGGGAGGCAGAAAAGCAGTGAGGAGGCGGTGGATGGATGTTTTCTTTCCGTGACAGCGACACTGAGCTGCGTTCGCTGTAATCCTCCCTGCTGTTGTGACTGACAGCCACAGGTTTTTGCAACACACCTTCCTATTGGATTCTGTTGACTGTGAAAGAAAACTTGCCACCCTAACTGCTGCGGCCCATCACAGCGTTGAGCTCATCACAACCACAAATCCATGGGAAACTCTTTTTATCCCTCGCTTTTCGTCTGGGTTTGTGTGTGTAAAGCACAAATATCACTTTTCACAAAAAAAACTGTGTGAAATGTACACTTATGTCAGCTGGAGAAAATGAATTAATTTAGGTGTTAACAGCTCACAAAATCCACCATTTGACTTGAGAGATAGATGTTTAAGAATGCGACAAATATTTCAACATATACTAAATAAAGCAAAGAATTTCAGGTCTGGTCAGAATGATGGGTGTATTTTTAACTTAATTTAAAAAAATAGACATATTTTGGACCCACGACTAGGTAGAGACTGAGGGAAAACACCCACGCCACGGGCCGTCAGTGCTTCGAGACCAGCGACAAGATTGAAAACACGTGTGCATTAATACCTGCTCAAATATATAGCCTGGACTAACCTGCTAATAGCCTTAATTTGCAAGATAAACAGTAGAAAAGTTTGACACTCACTCACCATAAGGTGCTTTTCCTCTGCGTCTCTGCTTCTGCTGCCTGCTGAAGCCTTGGAGGGACTGGAGGGGGCAGCGGGGGGACGCCGACAGCGGCAAAGTTACTGCCTGCCTCCGCCATACTATCTGTTAAAGTAATTTTCTCTCAAAGAGGAATTAATTTCCTTTCTCAGGCGACCCACAGACTCTGTGGCACAGCCTGCGACGTCCAGCTGGATCCCCAGAGCGTGGGCCGTATTGTGACTGTTCCCCCTGTAAAATCTGACTGAGCTGCAAAGTTTCTACGGCAGCTATAAAATTACAATTTCTTTTATCTATTCTGGAACACAAATTTATTTAATTCGGTGCAAAATGCCAAAGACAGTGATGATGTAGTTTGATTTTAATTTGCAAGATTTGAAAGAATATTTCTGTCGTGTTAAATATTTTTTGCACAAATAGGATGAAAATATGTTTAAATATCTAAGAAGCATAAAATCACGACACTTTCCCTTTAATACAAATAAATATTGGTTATGAACTTTTAAGAAATGCAGCTTTTGAAAAGTAAATGAAGATGCATGAAAACTGGTTCAACATGAAGCAGTAGCAATAAAACTCCATCAAATCTTATTAAACAAGCATATTTCTAAATATTTTTTTTTTTCAGGTAACAAAATCATAAATCTTAAAGTAAGTAGAACTGATCTGTCCAGAGTGTACTGTGCTTTCTGCTTACTGACTGCAGGAAAACCAATTCAACAGGATACAATGGATGAAATGCATGAATTGATGTTTAAAACAAAAAATTAGCTTGAATGAAACAAAAAGAAGAAAAATCTACAAAAACAACTCAGGCCAATTAAACAGGAGAACAAAAAAAAAAAAAAAAAGAAATCGGAAGACATTTAAGAAACTGTTTTACTTTTATTTTGAAGGCAGAGCAATCTTTTCCAAAACCAGCATTTCATACAAGCCAAATATTTTTGCATTTAAAGTTACGACTTCTAAATAAACCTCAGTGTCATCGGCATAAAGCATATTCCAGTGCCCCAAACTTGTGTTTTAATTAAGTTTAAATTTCAATATCAAAACAATAATCTAAAAACCAGGGACGTGGAAATTAAGTTTAATCCCTACTGTTGCTAATTTGCACCATACCTACTTTAAAGCTTCTGAATTATTGGAGACAAAAATGTATTTATTGTTTTTAATTTGTTATTTTGGTTATTCAACCATCAGTTTCAGGAAAACCTGATCATTCATAAAATGTCTTTGATAAAAACTCTTTTTTAGCAATGTGAGCATTGTCAATGGGGACGTCAGCGCTGCTGCTGCTGCTACATGTTTAGCATTGAAATGCTACTTTAGCTGAGAAAAGCTTCACTAACAGGCCAACTCCTTTTTTTATTCAATGTACACACAACAATAGTCTTTTCCAGTCCCTTTAGATCATTTGTTGAAGCAAAAATTAACACCACTGTGCCAAAAAAGCAGTTTTGCTGCTCAAATCGCTGTTATTTGGGGATGTCATTTGTGCATCAGATTTACAGGTGTACTAGAAACAAAATACAAAGGTTCCAGTTCTGGACTTTGGTTTATAAAAAGAAAAAATTAATTGCATTAACTAATTGCATTAATATTTTTAATGTAGTAATTTAAATGTAATTAAGCTAAAATGCAAGCAATAAAATCTCAGCGCCAATATGTATATATGTTCTACAAGTTTATAAAATTGTAAATAACTTCAGGCAATAAGTGATTAAGAATTGGAAAAAAAACTGGGCCTGGTTTGAAACCTTGAGGTACACCTCAGGTCATTTTAGGTTATTTGAAACATTAATAACTGAAGAGTAGAGAAATGATGAAATCCTGAAATAAAGTCAAGTTTATTTGTATTTCAGCAACAAGCCAGTTCAAAGTACTTTACGTCATAAAAACTTTATACAGTAACCAATTATGAAATAAGCAAAAACATTACATTTTGTCACATACTGTCAACAACATCAAGAACCAAATATACAACTGACGTATTGATTAACATTCCTGTTGATGGGAATCAAATCAACTCTGAACAGGTGGGTTTTTATCCTCAGTATTTCAGTTGTTTCCCAGTTTTCTAGCACTTTGTTCCCTATTCGTGGTGAGTAATAAACACATGATCTGCAAGATTGCATGCAGATGTGATGTGAAGCAAAATGAGGGCAGCACAGAAACCAAACGCAACAATTAGCAAAACATCATTTAAAAAAGTTAAAGAAACCAGGAAGCATTACGACAATCTGAGCGTGACCCGAGGATAGTTACGTTCTGGTTTGAGTCCATGCTGACAAACACAGGGTAACATGCTGGGTTAACCTTTGACACCTCTCCCTTCCATCTTCCACTTCCCCTCATGCGACCTCCTTTCCCCTCCGCCCCACCCGTGACGTACCAACGCCGATTTCCTAAAGAGGATATTAAAAAAAAGAAGAAAAGGTGGGCACCAGAGGTCAAATCCGAGTCCAGATCAAACTGCCTCCACTTTCCTAAAGCTCAGCCATTTTAATAGTGCAGATTTATTGTGCTGTGCTTTTTGGAGGATGATCATATATATGTGGTCAGTGGAGCCGATGCAGCCTGTGACCCAGCCTCCCTCTCACGTTACACCCTATTTATAACATCCCCTTCCTTGACTCCCCTCGTTCTGCAGCTCCTAGGAACCTCCTGTGCTTCCAGCCTCGAGCTCCAGTCCTCTGTTCCTCCTGACATCTGAGAAGCTCTGCTGCAGCTTGTCCTGGGCTCTCTGTTTATCCTGCACAGCCTGCCAACCAGCCGCATGCTCTGGATTACCACAGGACGCCCATTTCTCAGCCCCTTTTGCTTTCTGACTATTTCATTTCTCATTTTTTTTCTTTTTTGTTTGAGCTTAAAGGAAAAGTTTTGGGAAAGTAACCTGGATATGTGCTTGTGATTGTTCCTTTTTTTTTGGTTGGTTTTCTTGACTTCACTCATCCCAGCCTCAGTGGAGGGCCGTGTGTGCGTTTGGGCTCCATGGATCACACGCTGTTCGGCTGCCTGCGCAGCCCCCACGCCCCGGCGCAGGCCCTGCATCCCGCCTTCACCCAGTCCCCCCTGACCCTCCACGGACGCTCGGATCACATCTCCTACCCCGACCTGGCCTCTTCCTCATCCTCCTCTTCCACGTCCTCGCCGTCCCCGTGCGTCATCTCCAGCTACTCGGGCGACGATGGCCTGTTTCCCGGCCAGCACCACCACCACCGGAGCCACCTGTCCTCCCAGCAGCATCACCACCAGCCTCAGCACCACGGATCCTGGCACATCCCACAAATGCCGTCACCTGGCGGCGCCACCGCCTCACGCCACGGCCTTTGCCACCCGCATTCCCTGTCGTCCCACGAGAACGGGCCCACACCGCCGGACCTGGGCCACCCCGGGCCGCCCAGCATGTGCGCCAGCACCCCGACTCTAGGCAGCGGCAGCACCCCAACAGGGGCTTCCTGTGTGCCTGCAGACTTCGGCAGGCAGACTATGTCACCCGCTGAAGCGGAGAAGAGGAACGGCAAGAGGAAAAGCGACAGCTCAGGTAAGATGAATTCTGGGAGAAAAAGGAAGCAAACTGGAGAAATTTCTTCTCATTCCCACACATCTGGGGAAAATAATCCGTTTTGACAAATTGAAAAACAGAAGACTGCAGTTGAAATTCTTTGGAGATCTTTTTGAAAGGGAAACGCTTTTACATAAATATCAACCTTCCAGCCAGAGCTCCAGGATACCACAAACATCTGTACACGTCAGTCGGGATCATTCAACAGCTCAGCTGTTGGGAGCTCTGCAGCTCGGATAGAAAAACAAAAAGCGTGTCTGGGAAGCAGTTTGTAGGTGTTGGCTGATTCAGGCTGCAGGCGCACCGAAGCGTGGGGCAAAAGGCCATATCATAACTGCAGAGGCACTTCTCACTACCGCCGCCGTGTTTTGGTTTAAAAAAAAAAAAATCACATCTGGTTTGTTGCGACACTCTTCAGAGGGCAGAAAATGAGGTGCACGGTAAAGAATTGATGTCATGGATTGTAAAAGGGCAGCAGCGGCGCCGCGTGCCGCACTAAACGCCCGGCAGATGCAGACTTTTCCTGCTTTTCCTGTTTAAATCTTGTGGTTAATATAAATCACAGTTTGGGGCGTTTCTTAAAAATATACAATAGTCTAGAAAATTCCAGAAGGAAGGTGGGACAATAAAAAAAAAAGATTTATTAGCATTTGAAAATAAATCCTAAATATTGCCCTTTTAATGCCATATTTAGTACGTGTTTTAAGTCTATATCTTTTTAAATCATGGGAATTTTAATAAGCTAATTTACTTAATTTGTTTATTCAAGCTTTTTAAAACAAACCAACATGTTGAACTCTTTTTTTATTTTGAATAAACTTGAAACAGTTCTTTCTAAATTTCACCTGGCTGAAATTGGAAAATGCAAAGCATTTCGACAATGATAATCAATTATTATCATGACAAACGGTGATGTTTGAGTCACCGAGCCGCTTGCTGGGAATGTGATATTAGTCAGAGTTTCAAGGAAACTACTCCTCCCTGCTCTTTCTGTCCGTTTAAACTGAAGTCCTCAGAACTGATCCACAATCTGTGTTTATTGTCAAAACCACTGATTTTTGTCTGATGGTTGTGCTCAAATTGGAGGCGAACTTGGCAGGAGACTCGAATGTTATCAGGACATTTTGTGGCATTTAATGTGAAAACAACAAAAGGTTGATTTTTGGCAATTAATATGTCACTTCACTTACATGTTGATCATAAGATAGGCTACACAAAATAATCGCACTCATGAAACCAGCAGAACCAGTTCCTTCATTATCAATGTGCCACATCACAATCTAATTTATAAAGTTTGTTTTTTTTATATTTCTTTGCATTCCCTTACTGGTTTTATTTGAACAGGCTTGAAAACAAAACAACTGGGAGCAATTAGATTTCAAATTTATCCAACAATTTACTGCAGCAAACGGAAAAATGGTACAATCAGGCAACGCAAACTCATCATTTTGTTTGTCTTCTGCTGAATGATCTGTTATACTCATGGAAAGTGGTGCAATCACATATTTAATCCACTAATTCCACAAACTACCTCGAATTTTCTTCCGCTGCTTCGAAAACCGAGCTTCTGCTTCCAGATCCCGCTTTTCCCCGCAGCTTCAGAAGTGCGGCGCGTCCTCGCCGCTGTGCGACCAATCACTCTGATTATGGAGGCTGGCTGTGCCGCCGCCTCAGTCAGCTGTCTAAATATCAGACCGCTGCCTTTCGCATGAGATGCAGCTCTGATTGGGTTTCAGCATCTGGACCAGGAGCTGCAGGGGAAACTTGAATTTAGATGCAGAAATGAAAACAAAACCCGAGAATTCATTCTCCCCCCTCCTATCTGAAAGGGTTTTCTGCTGCTGGTACCCAGTTGAAGCTGTTTCCTCGAGCTCGGCTACAGGCTGAGCTAATGAGATGAGTCAGGGTCTCTGGTTTCAGGGTAACCTGCTCATTTTTTCTCGGGCATGCGAGGCTTCGGGTGTCTATCCCCAGTTTATAGGGCTGTCAAGGGAGTGGTTGTCCTGTAAAAAAATACCAGATTTTCAGAGTGGAACAATAAAATGGCTTTAATTTGTTGAGACACTGTTGTCTACAAAAGCAGGAATGACGAGTCGGAATCTTCTTAAGGCCACCTTGAGTTCAGTTTGCTGGAATTTGTGAACAAAATCAATTTAAAAAACAAATTTTACAGCAGAGGGGTCTACTTTCGAGGATCTATTCTTCTATCGTTTCCCCTGAGGATCCCTGGTAAACTTTGCCAAGTTCATTTGGCAGCCTCAAACGGCATGCCCCGTCTGGGTGTGTGTGCTTTGCCCGCATTATTCCTCCTTTTTTGTGGACAGATGAAAGTTACAGCGGGGACCTAATTGGTGTGGTGCAGCAGCGGTGCCATAAAAGCTCCCCCGCTCGTTTTAACTGCAGGCCCGCCTGCTCTAAAGCGGCTGTCTGTCTTCTGCTTTCATTTTATTCTTTTTTTTCCCCCCCCTTCTTTTACGCAATGTCTATGTAAAGAAAAGGCAGCAGGTCAGTTTGTCTGAAGGCCCTGCTTCAGGATCGGCAACTTGCTGCTCGGTTTAAAATTACAGGGAGGGGAAAGCCGGGTCAAAGGGGAGCCAGGCACGAGCTGCGGGGAGAAGCAATACCATGTTTAATTTTACAAAATTTATGTGGGAATTCTTGCAGTTTACGTCTGTGTTTGTTTGTCTTGGCTTCTCAATCAGCCTCTGCATCTTTCCTTCTGGCTGTTTAGGTGGTATGTAAAACCAGCTTTTCTAATTAGACAGAAAGACAGCACCAACAGGGATTTCTTCGTCTGGAGGAGAAGAAACCTTAGATGTGTCTGCAGGACTATTTACAGTTTAGTTTGACGCAGACCTGTTGGATTAATGCACGCTGCAGAACCGAACCACTGCTGAGTTTCCATGGCGATTGTTGCTTCCTTTAAGACTGGTATGTGCATGTGAAGTGAGTCCAGCAAAGCCGCAGAAAACACTATAAAACAGGGAAGATTTGAAAGGCAAATTAACAATTTGGAGCTCATTTTGAAGTGCATAAGCAAAGGAAAGCAGCTGTGCAGAACTCAAACGATGTTGGATATTAAAGTTTTTTCCTTTATGTCTCATGCAAGTGAACAATTTGTTTTTCTTGTATTAAATTCAGGCCTTACTTCAGAGTTCTTGCGCTCTTTGGGGACTCATTTTTTCGCTGATTGTGAACAACTTTCAAAACAAATCTAAAAAGAAAGCAAACAGAGAGCCTGGAAGTAACGTTTCCTGTTTAGTTTTTCTGATAAACTGCAGAAAAAAAAGCAAGTCCTTCCATTCACTTTGAAGCTTTATAAACAACAACTGGACAGTTAAGCTTGACAGACATCCCTCATCTTTTTTCTTGCACCTGTCTTCGTTTTCACTTTCTGCCCTGAGCTTAAGAGAAACCCCTGTGGTGTTTGATTTCAGAGTCCCAGGATGGGAACTACAAGCCAGACGTGAGCAGCAAGCCCAGGAAGGAGAGGACAGCGTTCACCAAGGAGCAAATCCGCGAGCTGGAGGCCGAGTTTGCCCACCACAACTACCTGACCCGGCTAAGGCGCTACGAGATCGCCGTGAACCTCGACCTCACCGAAAGACAAGTACGTCCCTGCTTCTGGAGGCATTACCGAACCCTCCATTAGCACATTAATGCCATGTTGTGAAAACAGAGGCGCCCTCAGGACTAGAGGAAGGCTTTTCACTCGCTACTGTGTTTTGGTAACTCCATTGCGGGGGCTCATTGTGCTCCAGATGTGGCTGCGTCATTGGACGATCATATTCCAGATGTTCCCGTCTATTCTTTCAGGCGGGCTGCAGACGAGGTTGAAGGAAGTGCTGTCTAGCAAGTCGCTTCCCCCTCTCCGGGCGTGGGCCGCTCGCTGTAAAACGCAGGCAGGTGAAATAAATAACAGGAGACAAATGGTTGGAGGAAGGAAGCGGCGCGCGGCTTGTCGTTCTGTGACAACCTTTTGGAAGCCGTAACTCACACCTAGTTGACGCGCCGCCAGTGATTTTTGGTGGTTAGACGGAACGCAGATCCATCGTAAAAATCATCAGGAGTTTTTAGCTGATGCCATGGAGGCAAATCTAAGAGGTGAACATGTTTGCTTTGACTTTATGTCATATAATCCAGTTCAAACTGGTGGAAATTATCTGGTTCCTTTGGCTCAGGTGTGTCAAACTGGAGGTCCGGGGGCCAACTCCGGCCTGCTGTAGACTTTTATGTGGCCAGTTGCTGAACAGTTTTTAATGGGTTTTATTAATACATCCTGGTATTTTCAATCCCAATGCGGCCCAAAATATAAACGAGTTTGACACCATTTCCTTTAGATCGTCCTTAATATTTTTGGATTACTCCTAATTACTCCAAAAGTGAATGCTTCAAGCAGCGGCCAACATCTTTGCTGGTGTTTTTCAAACTTTAGATTTAGCACGGCATCAAAACGCATTTATTCAGAAGGAAAACGTCTAAAATATTCAGAATAATCTCAAAAATTGGAGCACAGGCCCTTTGGTTTAGTAACAGTATCTTTGTCTGTTAGAAGAGAACAACAGGTACATTTCTTCCTTTCAGTAGAAACTATGCAGAGTAAACTGCTATCTGAAGCACTCCACACCAAACCAATGCAACAGTTAATGGTAATAATGGCACCTTTACGTTTTTATGGAGAGTACTTTTGGATTTCCAGTGATTGAAGGGAATTAGGGGGTATGGCACACCCACTTGTCATTTTATAGAGTAGCCTTTGCAGACCTGGTCATCATCACTTAGACGACCAGGTCTGGTTATTGGAGTCGTATCTTTTCTAAGGAGAAATTGTGTAATTTTAACAGGTGTAGCAGTTTCTAGAAAATGCATTTTTTTGTACAGCAATTAATTTTTAAGACTGTTTTCTCCAAACTGGCCACTTAATTAGCTTCTTTGTATCCTGTTTTTCGATTTATATTTTTTATACACAATCAGAAGTAGAAAATCTCTGAAAAGTTCTAGAACTTGTCTGTGACCAATGGTGCAGAAACCTTCATCTTTAATCCTCTTCAGTTTTTCCTTCTAGTTCATGGCTTGTCTAACTTTGCCTGATAGACGTTTAATAATGAACACTATTAAATTTTTTTGCTCCCAATAGGCACTAAATAAATGTCTCTGTGTAATAAAGAAATGGTCAAACTGGTGAGAAATTATCAAAGCTGAGTTTTTTGTGTATTGAAGGTAGAAGAGGTTTTGTTTCTCCGTTGGACATTTTTGTACAAAGTTAACAGGAAATGAGTTGAAACATATAATTTGTTTTGTTTTGAGTTGATAAATCCATTTCTTAGAGATTTTGTTTGTATGGTTTTTCCTCATTAGTATGGAAGCCTATTTAATGTTTCCTGCAGTGTTAGAAAGTTTAAAATGTCACAATCTATATTTTAAATATATATAAAATATCAGCTCCAGTCCATATTTCCATACATAAACTAAATTTGATCAGGTCTTGAATTGTTGATTCATTTATTCAGTCCTTCTTCTGCACTTTTTTAAACATGTCTGTTCGCTGAAACTAATATATGTCCTTTATCTCAGACTTAAGGTGTCAAATTTTAGCTTTAACAGGATGAAGGATGTCTGATCAACTACATGTAAGCTTCCAAAACCATTAGAGATGATCCTGGACGACTGAAAGTTAGCCAGTGACAGAAAGTGTTTCATTACAACAAGGAAGTAAAAATAAAGAACCGGCAGCTAAAAACACCAAAAACTTATGTTTGGACACCAAAAGAAAGGGAATAAAATGTACCTGTCTTCAAAATATGAGGCTCAAATATGTATTTTTATGCTAAAAGCAATTTTTTTTGTTGTGTTACCACATTGGGATTTAACTTGCCTAAAAGCGATACTAATGCACCAGAATCAAAACTAAGATTCAATGTGAAAACTTTTTTTAGAACACCTTTCAAATTAAAATTCTTTGTATTTTCACTAAAATTGAACTTTTTAGCTAGAATTAGCAAGATTTCTCAACTAGTGACAGGATAAAATCAGCTTTTTTGTGGAAATACTCTTAAAAGGCAAAAAAAATAAATATAGATGCAAGTTTCCAAATTGTATTCGATAAAATGTTCACTAGGTAAAAGTATTAAATGATAAAATATCCAAATAATAAAATTAAAGAAGCTCTACTCTCAAATCAAGACTGAGAAAAATCTGTTTTTTTCTGGCAGGTTTTAAGGGATTTTCAAAGTAAAGCAAAGCTCTGTGAAGACACCTGCAAAGTCCAGCTTGGAAAATGTCACAGGCTTCATAAAGTTTTGAAGTAATGCTGTCCTTTCGGTTCAAATTACAAAGTCTCAGAAGCTAAGAAGAAAGAAAACTCTGATTCAGCAGACGGCACGGAGTTTACCATCCTTCGTCGCTCTCCCACATTGTTGCAATTAATCTTCCAGTGGCATCAAAATGTGCATGGATATTGCGCCATAGGTTGAGTGTGTGTGAGTGTACGCAGCAGGGGACTCTGAGGTAAATACTGGCATTAAAGTTGGTTGGCTTGGTTTATGCTGCATCAGCTGTCTGGAGAAATTCGATGGATTTTTAATGTGTTTGGAGGCTGAGAAAGCCGGATTATTTTTAAAGAGGCGTCAGAAAGCAGAAACATCTCACATGGTGGAAGTCTGACCAGTTTAGATCCTGGCAAAGGTTAACAGAAAATTCAGCCTCACCCTGGTAATATTACCACTTTAGTATTAAAATCTAAAACCTATTGCTCCTATTAAAATAAAATTAGAGGAGCTTATTTCATTTCTGCCACTCTGCTCATGCTGTGCTGTTTTTAATGGTAGATTTTATGTTGCTGAAATGTGTTTAGTGACTCACAGACCTCTGAGTTTTTGATGCAAAATTTGACATCATCATATATGTGGAGTTGGGTCGTTCAGGGAATCCGAATTTCCCCAGTTTGCTTTGAAAGCGACGGGTTTGTGTGACATCAGAGCCAGAAACGTGTCGCCGCCTCAGGCTTGTAAAGAATCCGCTCAGATACTCGGCACCCCGCATGTTCAAGACAAACGTTTGTGTTGTCGACTAACTTCCTGACCATGTGATGGCTCTGCTCCCCAAAAATAAACCTGTGTCAAAGAGGACTCCCCTCCTGCCCCTCCAGGACCCATGAGGCGGCTCTCTGGAAGCCTCTGCTGCAGCTCGATGTGTAAACCGTTTTAAGCAACAGCTTAATCATCAAATACGGGAGAGACTGTTGAGTCAGGGAAAAACAGGTAGACGCCGAGTGGCAGGTGGAGCCGCATGTCCACATATAAGGGCATCGGGTAAAGAAAGTACACCCCGTTCAATTCCAACGCCTTACAAGTTTAAATCAAATGAAAAGACGCAAACAACTCAGAATTAGCATTATTTTAACAAAAAGGTGCAAATTATGTGTTTGCAAATACAGTTCATTAGTTGATCATCATAGATGTTGATAAAATCAGTTTCCTGCTGAGGGACATAGAGATCAGATGCTTTAGAGAAGCAGCTTCTGCTGCCCATCAGTCTAGGAAGGGCTATAGGGCTCATCTCAGATTAAATTGTTCTGCAGGGAAATTTTTTTATTTGAAAGAACAATATTTCAGATCAGGTCATGTGGTCTGCCAATTCAGACAATGAAATGCTCTGAGAAATTGCAAAAACTACAAGGTAACAGCTTGGTAGTAAAATCAATTGGTCACAAGGATTGATTCATGCTGTTAAGTTTTGGAGAAATTTGATGATTGCATCTTGAGGCTATAAAAACAAAACCTTTTAAATAAAAAATCCAAGGCAGATGTGAAAACGAAACATGCTGCATCCCCATAAATCTGGGAAGGGTTAAAAGGTCAAAAGGTAACCTATAATAGGTATGAAACTATTTTTCAGCGACAAATGTACTTTACAAGATGAGATTGTACAATTCTCAGAGAAGTGGCAAAAACCCAAGAGCGTTATTTTATTCTCTACAGGCCTCACAAATTCACATGATCAATGTTGAAGTTCCTGACAGGGCAATTAAAAAAGGACCAATAGACCTCAGAAAGAATGTGCTTTGGACAGACCAGACCCATTTGGACCGGCACCGTAGTCACGCAGAACAGACTTCACACCAGCTGACATTTATGGAGGCGGAGGAACGACAATCTGGATTTGTTTTGTAGCTGTAGGACCAGAGGATGCTGCAGTTTCCGAGCTGACCCTGAAGTCCTCGCCAGGGTCAGGAGTGAGGCCTTCGAACTGCAGCAGAATTATTTCTAATCTTCTCTACAAAGAAAGAAATCAAGGCTTTCTAATCACAAACCAAAGTTCAGTGATTTGACCTGAAAGGAGCAAAAATCTGCAAACCTGTGTGATGGTCAAGCTTTTGATCATTCACTCCTTTTTTATTTTACGCTGAAATATCGTTTGCTCATGTCAGCTGAAAATTAACCTGTTTGGCTGAGATGGAATATTTACAGAAATGTTTATTAACACATTAAAAAATAGTGTCAGGATGATAAGGTCATACAGAAAACAAGTTATCCCTGCCAAAGGTAGTAGCTATTGCTAGGTAATTTACCACTTTGCTTTCAAACTTTGCTTTATTTGTTAAACTAAATGAGTTTATTATATCTTGCACACTTGTAGGTAAATTGTAACTCTTAATTTTTTATTCTTTTGATTCCTTCTGGTATTATCTATAAAACCCTATAACAGAAAGGGAGCTTTAGCTTACAAATTATTGAGAAAAAACGATGAAATTTCTCAGATTGAAAAGCCAAAAATTTGCTAGAAAATTTTCTGAAATTTTGAGATTAATCTCTGGAGTTTTCTGGAAAAACAAGAAGATTTCTGATTTTCTAGAATTGAAAATCTGCTAGAAAAGACTTTTTTGTCTTTCGGACTTGACTGGACAAGTTCTGAGAGTAATCTTAATTTATTTTTTTAATTTTTAGCAAATTTTTGACTTTTCAAACTCAGAAATGTCATTGATTTCTTATAGAAAATTTCTGAGACTGATCTCAACATTTGAGGGTTTTTTTCTGGCACAATTTTGACATTTAGAGCTCAGAAATGTCCTGGTGTTTTTTTTCTAGAACATTTTCAAGAATAATGTCAAAACTTAGAACTTTTCTAGCAATTTTTTGACTACAAACTAAAAATTTCTTTAGAAATTTTCTAAGATTAATGTAAAAATTTCTGATTGTTTTTAAAGCAAATTTTCAATTTTAGAAACTTGGGAATAAATGTCTTTTTTTTTACTAGAAAATTTCAGATTTTTTTTTGTACTCCTTTTTCTATACACTGACCCTAATTCGTACAGCGTCGTAGTTCCAATGGAGGATTCTCATTGATTTAACGCATTGCTCCCTTTGCAGGTGAAGGTGTGGTTCCAGAACCGAAGGATGAAGTGGAAAAGAGTGAAAGGCGGCCAGCAGGGGGCGGCAGCTCGCGAGAAGGAACTGGTGAATGTGAAAAAAGGAACGCTTCTGCCATCGGAGTTCTCCGGCATTGCGGCGCTGCATCACTCCACGGACTCCTTAGCCAACGAGGACAGTCATGACAGCGATCAGAGCTCCGAGCATGCTCACTTATGATGGACGCCAACCCTTATCCGCCTTGGGAGCTTCCTTAGAGGGAACTGCTGTTGGATGGTCCGCCGTGTCACACAACGACGCTAAACGAGTGTACAAACGCAGAGGAGTGAAAAAATAGCTGCAGGCATCATGTAAATTTGAAGAACCGAGGACAATCGATGAAAGTTTTATTAATAAATGACAAAAAAAGAACAAAATACAGTGCTTTGAATAAGTGTTTGAACCTTTGCCGATTTCTTTTTTTATCTTTTTGTCACACAAATCAGATTTTTCTCAATATGAAACATAACCTCAGTAAATAATAAACTATATACAGATATATTTTACATTTATGATTTATTTTATTTAGGGAAGAATGCTCTACAAGCCAGCTTTGAGCATTTGCACCCACATCCATCATTGTGGAGAAATTTTTTCTCCCTCTTTGTTAGAGAAACATTTATTGTCTTCAAGTCTAACCAGCCATCACAGCATTCAGAAAAGTCCAGAATTTGACTAGGCCACTCCATAATCTTTGCCTTGTTTTTTTAGACATTCAGATGTGGATTTGATTATATATTTCAGATCATAAAAGCCCCAGATAATCACATAACCACCATGTTTGAAAGAGGGTTTTAACTCGTTACCAATAGATAAATGTCAGCGATTTTCCCCTTTATCCTTGAATTTCTTATGACTTTTGGCTAACTTCATGGTCTATTTAAGTAATTTCCAAAGTTGTTGACGTATTACTGAGGATGACTTTGACTTATTTTTCCAGGTTAATACATAAATTCATACATTTTCTACTCCCTTTGATATAAACACTCGTGTGATTTGAAACCTTTAGGTGTGACAAAAAAAAAAGAAGAAATCTCTACAGAGACAAATACTGTTTCACTTCACTGCATCTTGATGATGGAAATTGACTAAAACAAGTAAATAATAAGCTGTTAACATTCCATGTTTTGTTTCTTTGCAGGCGCAGCCTGAAGCTTTAATTTGCACTGTTGAACCTAAAGTCTGCGCCTCGATTGGTTTCTACTGTTTAAAATGTAAATTACGCTGTAATTAAGTGTTTGACTCAACCAGGTGCCAGGAAATCTGATCTGCCTCGCAAACATGAGCGATCTGTAAATAACTGTTAGTCTTGTCTTACCGTAACAATAAGCCTATACCCAGACTGTTCAGCTCATGCAGTAATACACACTGACAGCTCGTTAGCTGGCGTTTTTCTGCCTGGAGATGACTCTTTTTTTTTTGCAAATGATTTGAAGCCTGAAGCAGGGGACAGTTGCAAATTGAATAAAACTTTTAGAGTGGTTAATAAAGTTTCTTGAAAAAAGTTTTCACCCCCTCCCCCTCTCTCTCCACCATTTCTGCAGCTTTTCGTCCTTCATCCCGACTGATGAATGCATATTCCACCAAGTGAGGCTAAAATAAATTAAACACTGCAGAGAGTGCAGAAAGCTGGCGATGTGGGCGCATGTTAAATTCACCTTCGCCTGAGGGCCGGTGCCGGGGACTCCTGCCAAGACTCGGCAGAACCCACAAAGGATGGGATCCGGTTACCAAATCCAGTTGAAAACAATTTAGTGTCTTGATCTCATCTTTCACCACGTTGTGATTGTGCATGCTAATTTGTCTTAGAGGGTCCTCACACGGTATTTGAGGTTTATAATTTTTTTTCCTTGCAGCCCCTGCAGGCATAACCCGCTGATCCTGAATCGGATCCAGCTTTCTTTCTTTCTTTTTTTGCTTTACCACTGCAGATTATTCACAAGTGTCGAGGGCTCCCCTGTTTTTCCATTCGGCTTTAAATTTGAACAAACAGTATTTGTAACCGCACACAAATGTGCTCTTGTTAGTTCTACTGCGGCCCCCAACTGCTGACTGTCAGCTGCCGTCTTTACACAAAATGTAAGTATGTCTGTCCAGAGAGGAATTGGTGTGCACCTTTAAACGCATTTAACGGGCTAGCCGTCCTGCTTTAACCTCATGAAGGACAAAAACATTAAAACTGGATGAATTATTACACATTTTATTGGCTGGTTGGGATTTGAGAATGTATTTGTTGATTGATTTAATTTTTGCACTACCTTTTGGTTTAAAATAAAATAAGACAGCACAGTGTAGGTGAGCATAATGAGAATCGTAATTAAAAAGGGCAGCAGAAATAGAAATAATATTAATGTACTCCTTTTAAAAGTTACAAGATTTGAACTTTTCCCAAAGCGCCTTGTAGTCGACGTCATGTTGCGTCATCAGCCACTCTACTGCGCATGTCTTCTTCAAAACACATGGTTCTAACTAGAACTATTTACAATTAGGCTAATAAAATTACTTAGAGGTTATCAGAGGTTTTATTTTAACTTCGCTGTATTTTCATTTTTTTTAAAGTTTAATTTATCACCTGTCTTGATGGATGCAGCTGCATCTTCTTTTCATTTATATAATTATGGACAAACTAAGAAATTATTTTATTTTTTATCACGCAGAGACAAACAGATGTCACCTGACTGACAAAATGCGGGATTAACACGCAGCGAACGCAGGCCAGGTGTCAAGTTTACACGCAAACACTAATTTTCCTCTAAGCTCCGCAACAATGCGCACAAATGCGTTCAAATAGAGCTCATCATGAGTGGATTCACAGCGCCATGAAAACATGAAGAATTTTACAATAATTAATTGTGTTAAAAAAGTAGCACGTTGTTGTATATTAGAAGTGCATACATTCATATTTCAGTGCACACCACTGCACTCTGGGACACGTTTGTGACAACTTTTAATATCAGTGAACATTACATTTTAAGTCTGGACAGGTTCTCTATTGAAAACAGATCTAGATTTTGACTAGGCCATTTTTAAATATGGCTTCGATCTGAACCATTCCAGTCCAGCTGTGTGTTTAGTGTTGCTGGTGGAAAGTGAACCAAGTAAAGATTCATCCATTTTTGCCAGCTTTTCTCCCTCGCTGTAGAAAAATGCATGCCCACAGCATAAGGCCGCCCCCGCCATGTTTCACATGATGATCCCTGTAGCCCCAATTTTTAGCCAGAAATGATCCTTTGGATGATCTTTTTCCATGCAACTAAATGATAAAATGTTAAATAATAAATTCTAATTAACAATAAATGAATAATAATTTTTCGTCTCCTTCACTGACAGACGTAATAACAGCATTTCTCATTGTTTTCTGCTACAATTTCTTTCCACTTTGGGCTGTGACTAAAAGAGATTCGGTCTGTGGAAATTATTGTGAAATTCAGCGTGAATTACTTGTGACAAAAATATATTTAACTTTTTGCTCTTTAACTCGCTTAAAATCAATAGCTTTGATGATGGTTCTGTTTTTTATGCTGGTCTCGTTGAAGCAGCGGTTTGTTTATGAAGAGAGGAAAGTCATCTCAGAGCGTCATGGAAAGAGGAAAATTATGCAGTTTTAACCCATTTACTGTATATAGCTCAGTTCAATCAGAATTAAATCCAAATTTAACCTTACATAAGTTTTTACAAAATTCAAAGTGAAGAATAAATGAAAAACATAGTGGAGATTATCATGTTTACACCCAGAGTGATTTACACAAAGGAAAGATAGAAAGACAATAACAAAGTATATAGTTATTGCATGAAAGAAGAAGATATGTATAAACAAGATTTTCAAATGGTTAATTCATTTTTAATCAGAAACATATTCATTCCTGCTGTAAATAACTCATCAGTTTCTGCTCATATGAAGTTTTCAGGGAGCCTGGAAGTTAAATGCTTTTTTGAACGTAAGGTTTGGATTTGGTTCTGGTATTGCTGAGTAAATAAGTCTCTGAAACCCGGAGGGAGCTACAGACGTCATAAGCAACTCAGGGATGTTGGTAAAATCCATTCAGTGTCAGAAGACAGAAATTCCAACTTGCCAGTCGGAGAAATCAACTGGAATGACCCGGGAAGTCGGTTTTCCCAGTAAGAACTGGAAGATCTACTCCCCTCATTTCAATATGGCTGCTCCTTGCATCAACAATTGTGAACTATGAACTGTTTTATAAGATCTTGACCAAATGAGTATGTAAAACCAATCAGATCAGACTTCACTTGATCGTTCTTGTGTATTATGTGTACTGCCCTTTTATATTCTTGTGGTTTTCTATTGCTTGAAGTGGTGCAATCCCCATTTTCCATTTTATTTATTTGTTTGTTTTGTTCAATGTTGTTATTGTTCACAACTAAAAATCTGTAAAAGAAACTACACGAAAGGCAAGATGGACAAAATCACCTGGACTCTATGCCTGACACCTCGTGTACGACTTTAAAGCTATAATTACCACATGTGATGGAAATCTCTTTCTAAATAAAAAAACAGTTACAAAAAAAAAGTACCGCCTTCAACTCTAAACTGAATAAATTGGAAAGTGTTGTTAAATTCTTCCTTACATCGCCCTGATGTAAACCTTCAGTAACCTTCCCGCTGACTCTGACTGGACATTTTTGTTCGCACATGTTCTCTTGCCTGGACAGCTTTTACTACACCGAGATCCACACTCTCAATTTTGCAAGCAATTAGACACGATTTTCAGCCTTTTAACTGCAAGAACATTTAAAACCATGTAACATTTTTAGCAAAATTTCCAATTATGTGTTTTTCTTACTGGTCTACCACACAAGTACCCAATAAAACACATTGTGGTTGTAAAGTGACAAAATGTGAAAAAGGGCATGAATACTTTATATATAATCCTTGAATTATTACAACACACAGAAGGTTTTTGTAAACCTTTACATAAAGAAAAAAAGTGCATGGATTTGTGCTGCTTTAGCTGATTAGTTGCACTTATGGTGTGATGCTCGACCTTGTGACATTTTGTGGTATTAAAGCTCAATATGCATAACTTTATCTCCTGCAACTTCCATCACTTTATCAGTTAAAACAGTCTCTGTGCTGTGTATTAAAAACAAATCCAGTTATACAAGCTGTTGTTAAATATATATATTAAAATAACCTTTGAAGTGTCACATTGAAATATGACACTTCGTTTTTTTCTTTCAGAATTTCGTCAGTGATTCACGAGTTTCATATTTACAGGATAAAGCGTGGAAACCCCCCAGCACCGTGACAAACAGCTGCAATGTGACAAGGTGGACCGACATCCTTCCCTCCTGAAGAGCTCAATCATTTCCTGCAACTTCCACAGAGTCACTGCAGACAAGAGCCACTTTGCACCGCGGATTCTCGCGATAAAACTGATAGCGTGATTTAGAGAGGAACCCTGGCGTCCAAAGGCAAAGTGGCGTCCTGAGAAATCTGGATTAACACGTGGATCAAGGCAGAGGCAGGATCCGGCGGGCGCTTTAAACACGTCACAGTGTTTTATTTTTTTTTATCATTTCGGAACTTTATTCAGCAGCTGGTTCCGGATCCGTGTCACAGCTGACCTACTTTCCCTCCTGCGGAAGTTACCAAAAACAAACAGAAGGAGTTTAAAAGGTGACGCGCTTGAGACTGAGCGCTTTGTGCTGCAACACCTGCACAGGTAAACAGAGTCCCGGCCATGGCTGCAGCGGCGGGGTCCGGTTCTGTGTCCAGGGGTCTCCGGGCCATGTTTTTCCTGCTCACTCCAAACGAATCCTCCTTTGAGAAAGTGGAGGAAGTGCCTCAGTATGTTCAGCAGGTGGGTGGACGCTAATATACTTAAAAAATAAAATCAAATCTGTTTTAGTAAATTAAAAATTAAGTTTTTGAGACTTTAGGAAGTTTGTCAAATTATTTTGTGTCAAAACAAATAATTTCATCTGGAGGAGCATCAAAATAAAGTTTGTAGGTCAAAAGTTAAGGCAGCTGATTATATATTTCAGAATATAAAATGTATAGTTGGTATATTGTGCTTGCATAGTAAATATTTTTTACTATATTTACCTAATTTAGAGTCATGTATAAAACAAATATTGCTCTGGTTCATTTTCTGTTGCCAGAACTATTAGCTAGTTTGCAGCTGGGAATGAAGTTACAATGACACACAACCAAACTCTTATGTTCGGTGGCACCAACAATTTTGGCCGTAAAAACATATTGAAATAATTTCTTAGCATTTCTCTATGACAGTAAATCACCAGAGCTAACATGAGATTTAAAGAGATGATTTCATTTGTCAAAAGGCTTAATTATTAATTTGAAAACCCTTACAAGCCAGCCTGGCCATATGTGTACTGCAAAAACACATCTGATTTTGGTTTTATATCCCACTACACTTAAAATAATCTTGCAGAGAAACGAGACATTTTTCCCACATCATATTTATATTTCACTTATAACTAAAAATGTTCCATCAATAGTAAGAAATTATTGACTGAAAACAATCTCCTATATCCTGCTTATTTCAAGTGTACAAAGATGTAGAAGCCAGACCAAAATACTTAGTATTATTTTGTGTTTTTGCAGTGTGAAAAAGTAATATGGCTACTTAAATTAGCGGAGATATACCGTAACATGTCGAAAACTAATTTTTTATCAGCCACATCCACATCTGATTCCTGTAAGAGCACAAAAATCAAATAAATAAATTCAATAAAAAAATAAACTCTCAGAAATAGAACCCGACTGACAACATGAAGTAGGCTGGCGGATCTCAAGAAGCAACAAATCATGTCCCGGTCTGATGAACTTCAACAATAGAGGAGAAACAAAGTCATTTTGACGTCATTCGAGAGGCAAACTGCTTATAATTTCCCCACAAAAACTATTTCTTTACCAGGACTTAATGTTTCAAAATGTGAAATTTCAACTTAGACAGAATTTTGTTATCTTACAGCTTCTCCAGTCAACCAAAAACTATTTCTGATTTACCTGAAGACAAAATTTCATCATAGAAACACAAATGTTTATATTTTTCACTGTTATATTTTCAAACTCCAGTCCTGAAGGGCCTGCAGTTTTTAAATGTGCCACAGGTACAAAACACTGGAATGAAATGGCTTAATTACCTCATTCTTGTGTAGATCACTTCTCCAGAGCCTTGCTAAGGACGTAATTATTCTATTCAGGTGTGGCGCAAGCTGAATGCACATCTGCAGGTTGCAGGACGGCGGCCTCTGAGGTCCGGAGGCGTTTAAAGCTCCTACCAGCTTTAAACGTGTTTTCTTCCAGGATTAACTTGTATTTAGTTACACCCATCAGTTTCTTTGTCTTTGCTGGAGAAAAGCATCCAAAATTTGTTACCAAATCACCAAAAGTTTGACGATCTGAAATGTTAAGGTGTGGTACAAAGACAAGCAGTTGGTATTAAAGACCAGATAAACATTCCAGCAAAACTCCAAAATTCAGAAAATGTTATTTTCTTCTCTTACTTTCCAGGTTAAATTAGATTTGGCACAAACTAAATATGACAAAACAATCTCTACATTACATTTTCTATTAAATTTTTTTGTTTTAATCCTTGCAATAAAAATGTTGTGCACAGAACAACTTTAAGATTCCCAAAACACTAAAAATGTTTTGAATTTTTTTCTACCAGAATAAAGTTAACAAAAATATCAAACTGCTTCACAGAATCTGCATTGAATTTTGCATGTCAAATGTTGAATATCTTGACTTGGAGCTTATGCCCTTCACATGACGCCTGTGCCATGAAATTAAAAATCAGCCAGAGAGAAGGGATGATCTGTGCAGAGTTGAACGGTGGAGCATGAGAGCTCACAGTCCACCTTAAAGGAGCAGAACACTTCTGCAAAGCCGTGGAGAGACTGTGGTTTTGTGACGAAGGTCAACAATTTCTCACAAATAATAAGAAATCAGAGTGATGGGAATTATGGGTAGAACATTTGAGTTTGGAGTCATTATTCAATGCTTTCCTATGTGGAAAAGTGTTGATTTCAAGTAGTTTCATAATGGAGACAAATCAAATGTGATTTTATTTTATTTTTTCACTCGTTATTCTACACTGTCTCCAAATCGTAAATGTTCTGGAGTTCCTTTCTCATTTTCAGCTCTTTTCATAGATTTTAAATTTGATACAAGCCAGGTGATTTACTGGGTATTACTTTCTGTCTCTGAAACCAGTTAAGAGTTTTTTTGGCTGTGTGGTTGGGATTATCATCTTGCTTGGAGCTGCACGCTTGATTCATCTTCAGATTCTTATCAAGTAGGTTCTGGTTCGTTTCTCCATTCATCTTCCCTCAAACCACCATATTCCTTACCTGTAAACTTCTTTTTTGGCGTTGGGTTTTCAGGGTGAAGCACAGAACCTTTCTCCTTCCAAACATGGATAAAGACGAAAGCTAAACATCTAAAGAGTTTAGTTTAAGCCATAAGTGACCAGACTATATCCGTCCATATCTATTTAAAGGTTGTTAATGGATTATGCAGATGCACGATATGGCATAAAATTCATATCACGATATATTGTCATAAGTGGTGGTAATGATGTATCTCACAATATGATTTATATAAAACTTACCTTAGAAATGAAATCGCATACTGAGTGGCTTGTATCTATTTGTATGTGTTAAAACTTGTTTTTGCGCATTTTATTTGTACGTAATATTTAATGTTACTGCCTATTATTATTGGTAATGATGGGCAGCAGCTTAAGCTCAATGGTGACTACCTGCTTAAATCAAACTTAAATGAAGATAAAACTCTATATAGACGCACAAAACTTTAATATAAGGGATGTCTGTGTCAATTCCTGCTTTTTAGTCACAGAGTTGCAACTGGAGCTTGCAGTTAGATGCATTGCTGGTATTCAAACACATTCTTCGATTTAAGGTGGTAAAAGAAATCGCTTGTATTTCGTCTCTTCCATGCACTTTGCAGATTACATTTTCCTGCTCCTGCTCTCACTGTTTAGCCTTCCTATGGTCTTAAGAAACGGGGTCATTGAGCCCGTACATGTTTTTACTCTGTTTGGTCCGGCAGAGTTGCACTGTGCGCTTTTACAAGGTTTTCTTTTGTGGTTTCGGAAAGACCGTCAGACCGTGACATCTGCTGTGTAACCCCCTGAGTAACGCATTAAGACTGCTGGAGGGTTAAGAGAAAGGGTCTATTGGAACCAGCAACCTTTATTCTGCGACCCGGGAAGGGTCCAGATCCTGTATCCCTCGCTTCCCTGCTGTCTGACCGTGACATCTGCCGCGCTCCTCCTGTATGTCACGCTGAGACCACGGGATGCTAAACCAGGTCCTGATTATTTACGGGTTTTTTTGCACCTGCTTTTTTAACAAGTTATTCCCTTGCACTCTCATTCACGCTCCTTGCTTCCTCTGTTTTGATGCCGGACATTACGTCATCAACAAACATCACCGCAGTTAGCCGGTAGACTGCAAATGTCTATCATAGGACAAATTTCCATCATTTCTACTTTATACTGTTTATTTTGCCCATTTCTACTGGACTGTGGCTGTAACATTCAGAAACTTAGGAACAAAGCTGTAATTATTTATATTGGCATGTTTTGCAGACTTTTTTGTTGTTGTTTTATCCAGTAACTCAATACTCTGGTAATAAAAAACCTTTTTGTAGGCCATCAGTTAATATTATACCCACAACTGAGTAATACTTTCTAAATGTTGACAGATTTCAGTGAGTGTCTTGGATTTTTCAGTTTACTTTAGTTTTGAGATTTTAAGACTTGGTGGAAATCTTTCTAGCTCAAGTACAAACTCCAACTTATGCACAGAAAGAGCAAACATAAATTAATGGAAAGTGGTAAAACTTTAACTTTTCTCAGTGGAATGACCTCAAGCTGCAGTTTTTTTTTCAGGAATCACTGTAAAATATCCTGAAAAAAAACCTTCCTACTGCTGTCTCTCATTAAATAAATTAACATCTGAGAATCAAGATATATGTAACAACAGATTATGATCGACACTTAATATAATTATAATTTACACAAGAAATTGTTAATCAGCTAATTTTTGGACAGGGAGAGAGTTTTTCTGGAAGAACCCTTTGAGTTTTTTTTTTTTTTTTTTTTATCACACTAAAATTAAAGACGACAGAACTGTTGGAGAGGATGTGGGAAAGTATTGACCCTTTTCCGCTACATCACTTAATCGTTTGAGGTGCCATGATGGATGTCGGAAGTGAGGATTGGGAGTTTTGAACGCAGTGACGAAAATTGTTTTCCAAAGTTGTTTTTGCTGAAGTCGAGGTCATAACACATCTGATTGGGGCTCATAGGATATAAAGCAGTTGGAATGGAAACGGCTAGCTTAGAAACCGACTAATCTCTGACGTGTTAATCAAATGACCGACTTTACCTGGATTCACACAGTATGATTACTAATTGTTAGATGTACCTTCTCCATAACGTGACATTTGATAGTTTTCTAATAAATGCTTAGTTTATTTGAACGTTAATCTCACCTAGTACAAAGTGTCGCTGCAAATGCACGGTGTTAAGAATTAAAAAGAGGAATAACTTGATTTAGCTCGTTAATTAATTCTTTGTCCCGAATTCCTGTGTCTGTGTACGTGTGCAGAGAGAAAAGAGCAATCATACTACGTCAGACTTCAGATATTCAGAGTTTTATCCAGAGAAAATCAATGCAAGAAGAATGTTACAATAATCATCTCACCTAGATTATCAAAAGTCCAAGACATTACAAAACAGAGACAAAGAACTGAGTAAAAAAAGACAAAAGAATAACAGAAGATGCATCCTCCGGGAAACTC